GCTGCTGCTGCTGCTTTTGCTGCTGCTTCCGTTTCTGCTCTTGCAGCAGTTTCTGCTGCTGCTGCTGCTTTTGCTGCTGCTTCCGTTTCTGCTGTTGCAGCAGTTTCTTCTGCTGCTGCTGCCAGCCGCAGCAGCAGCAACAGCAGCAGACCGCAGCTGGACAAGCAGCTACTTCTGAACAGCTGTCTTTGCATCTTTCTGGAAAATTAATTTATTTTTAATTTCTTTTTAAATTAATTTTCAAATGAAAAGAAATTCAAATCCTAGCGCCCCTCGTAGCAGATTTGCCCGCAGCTGCTGCTGGGGGCCCCCAGGGGCCCCTAGGGGCCGCTAAGGGGGGCTCCCGGGGGGCCCCCCTGGGGCCCCTAGGGGGTTCCTGGCGCCCCCCTTTTGCTCTTTTTATTTGCAAAAGAAGGAGAGGAATCATTTTTTTGAATTGTAAAACCTAAACCCTAATCGGTGGTTTCAAAGTGGAAGACAGTCCAGTGGCTCGGAGCCTCGCCGGGAAACCACAAACCCTAAACCCTAAACCCTAAACCCTCAACTTTCTGCAGCGGTGTTTCAAATTCTAAACCAACACCCAGACCTCTGCAGCAAAGCAGGGGGCCCAAAGCGCCTTAGGGCCCCTTGCTTTGCTGCTGCGCACTGGGGCGGCTGCCACGAGCAGCAGCAGCAGCAGCAGCAACAGAAGCAGCAGCAGCTGCTGCTGCTGCAAAAGGAGCAGCAGCAGCAGCAGCAGCGGCAGCAGCAAGTGAGAGCGGGGCAGTGGAAACGTCCCCCAGCAAGGGCCAGAGACTGCAACGTCAGTTGCAGCACACTGCGGTCCCAAGCAGCAGCAGCAGCAGCAGCAGCAACAACAACAACAGCAGCAGCAGCAGCAAGTGCTGGCGTGCCTAATGAATTTGCACCCGAGTATGCAGCTGCTGCTGCGCGTGTGCCCGTAAACTCGTGCGCTCTCTCCCTGTGCGAAGGGCTGGCCAGGCCCCAGGGTTTAGGGTTTAGGGTTTAGGGTTTAGGGTTTGCAGGATGCGGGACCGCTTCAGAGAGCTGCAGGCCCTCGCGCTGCAGCTGCATCCAGAAGCAGCAGCACAAATGCATCAAGGGGGGGCCCCCAATGGGGGCCCCCGTGCTGACGCAGCAGCAGATTTAGAAGGGGGGCCCCCAGGGGGGCCCCCGGGGGGCCCCCAGGGGGGCCTCCAGGGGGGCCCCCAAGAAGGGTTTTTGTGTGAGTACTTTAAAAAGGTACAAGTACTTTCTGCAGCTCTTGCTGAAATAGGAGAGAAGACAGAACAGATCCAAACCCTAAAAGCGAAGTTGGTGGAAGCTACAAACCCTGATGAAGAGAAAGGTGGGTTTTCTAGGGTTTAGGGTTTAGGGTTTAGGGTTTAGGGTTTAGGGTTTGGGGCGCAGGGCTTCGACGCGCGCAGCCGAGGGGTTGCAGCCGCGTGGAGCTTTGAGGGCGCGGCGCAGAGGGTTCAGGGTTTAGGGTTTAGGGTTTAGGGTTTCGTGTTTAGGGTTTAGGGTTTAGGGTTTGCGAGCAGACGTGTCTCACGAGCTGCACAAGGTGATGGCGGCGGCGATGACTCTGATGCAGAAGAGCAAGAGGGCCATCGAGGGTTTAGGGTTGGAAAACACTAAATTAGCGGATAGTCAAAAAGGGTTTTTAAACTGCGCCAGCGAATTAAGAATTCGCAAAAACCTGCAGCAAACCCTTGCTGCTCAGCTGCAGCAGCAGCTGCAGCTGCTGCAGCTGCGGCAGGCCGAGTACAGGCTGCAGGTTCGCAAGAAGGCCGTTCGACAAGTCAAACTAGGTCCCAAACCCTAAACCCTAAACCCTAAACCCTAAACCTTAGGTTGCAGAAGCAGGCGGGCACGCAGGAGCTCGAAGATATTCGGCAGCAGCAAGCAGCCCGCGCCAAACCCTAAACCCTAGAGGGGAGCGCACGGGGGCTGCAGAAAAC